ATTATCAATCTGACTTTCTGGCAAGCCATATATATATATATATATATATATATATATATATATATATATATATATATATATATATATATATATATATATATATATATATATATATATATATATATATATATATATATATATATCAGAATTTTTCTCTCCCTATGACGTACTTCAAAAGACATGTACTTTGAGACAACACAGTCGGAAGTAGGATTTAACTCGAATTAAATTTCACTTTGACCCCAACATTTTCGCCCATTGAATTGAGTTCGTCATCGTCAGTTTTAATTTGCTACCATGGCAGAGTCCTCAGCATATTTAAAAACCAAAATATGCCAATAAAAAAGCAAAACAAAACACACCCCCCCAAAAAAACCAAAGCAAACAAACAAACAAACAAACTCCACCAACAAAAAAAAATCCCACCCATCAAAACCACGCAATCATGTTTGTCCTGAGCCAATAGCTTTTATATTATCAAGATAGTCTGCAAAGTAATTATGATGACGGAAGCAAAGAACTATACCACTGAAATCAATACGCATTCATATTTTAAAAAAATGCAGAAAAAAAACCTTTTTTTTTTTTAAAAAAAACTGGTTTTCAAAAATCAGGATTGATGCTAGGTTTATCTGTCAAATATACGCAATTAAAAGTGCTAGATATCAGTTACTAACTAACGAATGTCGAGAAACAATAATACTGATTAATTCATATTGACGAGTGGCTTTTAAGGAACATGGGAAAGTAACCAAATTAGATGAACAGACGACTGATATAACGGTCATACCAAAATACAGCCGGGGAAGCAGACATATATGTGATACAGTCATTAACATTTTACGTACCTTTTTATAACCTGTATGTTGATCAGCAATATCTGTAGATGCTTTATTCATTTTGTCCGTCTTTTGTCGTCCTGCTAGTAATAAATTAGTCCTTTAGTTTGACTCAACTCCTAATACGATTAAAATCAAATCTCTACTGCTCTACAGAGGCCGCTTATGGGTCGTGTTCCGCTGACCTTTGAATTAGCGAATGGAAAGGCAGTTTTCAGAAATCTGAAAGTGAATCAAATCGTTCAGCACGCATTGATGCACTCTACCTATGATGATCAGTCTCCCAAACGCGACACCACAAGACTTCATCTGATTGGATGATAAAATTAGTAATTATGGTAGTGACATAAGTCACTAGGTTACGACTACTATGCTGTCGCAGTCAAATCTTCACGTATGACAGTGGAGATCTGATTTTAATCATATTGCGTCAACTCCTTATTTGAAAATCTATTTATACGTCCTCTGTTTATAAAGCTGTATCCATATAACTCTTTAATTCTTGTATACAGTACTTATATGAATATTTAATGGATCATTGAATCTCTGATCAAAGGAATTGCACGTTAATGACACAATATAATCGTTTATCAATCCCGTCCAAAATTGTTTCTGAACATGTGATGCAAACTATATATTTCGTCATTTCTGTAAATTTTCATATATAACAACTAAATAGACAAATGATGCCCTGGGGTCAAAAGACCGATGTTACTGTCGAACAAGAGTTTTACACCTGAATTGCAAATAAATACACTCTATTTGATGTACCTGTTGCAAACCCTTTCCCAACTCCGTCATAAGATCTTCGAATCCATGTCGATTACAGTATTTAAAGTCAGTCTAGGTAAGAAAAAGATTATCAACAAACTTCTCAACGAGCCTGATTAGAAGTTTAACGTCAATAGATTATTAAATTCAGTCTTATTCTATATTCGATAGCACGGTTGTTCAAACACATCCATATTCATACAGTAGTGTAATGTTCTGTTCACGAATACGTTTTAATACTCTCTCTCTCTCTCTATTTCTCTCTCTCTCTCTCTCTCTCTCATATGTCATATATCTTTTAAGATTGTTGTGAATATATATTTGATATGAAAAACAAATAAATTTTTCAAGGTTCTGTGACGATTGTTATGGTTGGGATTGGGTGCTCCCAATGTTTTATTTAAGCTATTATAAAAAGCCCACCAACGCTCTATTTTGTTGGAAGTTAAATTTAGTGAAAGACAAATATAAAGCACTCAGTCAGCAATGCCGACTGTTAGATGGTTCAATATACAAAAAAAAATGTTGAAATTCAATTAATAACAATTTAATAACAGTTCAATAATCAAATAACTCAAATTTCCAATTTCACTCCTTCAGCTCAACTTTTAATAAGCTTATTGCATCACTTGATGCCTATTGCATCACTTGATCAGCAGTGTGAGATTGATTTCCAACTGTCTTTGGACTTCTACTCATCTCTTGTACCCTTTCTCTCACTTCCTTCTTCCCTCCTCAACCGCTTCCGTGACCTAGTTGTAAGTTCGGGAGGTCGTAGGTTCTATCCCCGGCCGAGTCATACCAAAGACTTACAAAAATGGTACTAACAGCTGCCTCGCTAAACGCTCAGCATTAAGAGGTAAGTGTTAGGACTGGTCGTCCTAATGTCTGAATAATGTGACTGAGTGGGACGTCGTGCTACATGTCTGCGGCATGATGCCCCAGTGCTTGACACCACTATAAACTGCCACAATGCAAACATTGTAGCGATATGACTGAAGACCTGTAAGAGCCACGTTAAAAATCTAAATCACACAGGCACTCCTTCTCCGCTTGCTCCTCGACTTTTCTCCATATTCCTTCTTCTCCTCCTCCTCAACTGCCTCTAGACTCCTCGACTTCCTCTAGATTCCTTTTCCTCCTCCACTAATTTCTCTACCACGACTACTCTTCTGTCGACTACAACTGTCTCGGCTACATCCTCAATTATTTTTTCAAATCTTGAAGACATGGGGCCCAATGGAAACCCAACGTTTTGTGTCCCTTAAAAGGCTTCCTGTGAAAACACTAGGACAGTGCAATCGTTTTACTTAGCTCTCTCATCTCACACTACCCACAGACTATGATCAGATAACGGCTGTTAATTTTTTTTTTCGGTCACACAATCGTTCACATCGAGATACCCATACGTTCTTGCAAGGATTAAACAAGTGTCAAAATACAGCACGGTATAAATTACTTCTTATACATAGAGCAATTAAATTCCGTCACATCAATACATATCCCTAATTCCGTAATACTAAACAATATCACACTAATCAGCAATTAAGCATACATACTACAAATGATTACAATTATGATGCATTAATGTTTTGCAAAAATCGAGTAATAAGTTACTGAACTTTCAAAGCTTTTTCTTTCCTTAGAATCAACCTCTAAGTTTTTCCGCCAAATTACAAGTGGCTTTTTCTCGGAGTAAAACCTATAGATTCGCAATCCTTTCTGACGAATACATGTATTATAATTTCATTCTCATTAATGTCAATAATTTCATTCTTACTCTTTCAACAAGCTGTAAATTAAAACGAGTGACAAATTATGTCGGCGACTTTATGTATTTATTGAGCAAGATGATTTAATGGTGCAAACTTTTATAGATATTTTTGCAGTGCATTCTATCGTGGTCAGTATAACACAGTAGCCGTTAAGACTGACGTTTATCTAGGGAAGTCCGAGGGTCTCATAAGAAATTAATAAGTAACCTTTCTCGTTAAATGATTCGTCCAGGGGAAGAATAATTTTAGAAATAAAAACACAGAGAGATTCGGTTGCATAATAAGAACGAGCCTAAATGAAGCAGATGGGGAAAAGAGCGCTGTCTACAACCAAGTTACGGTTGATGACCCGAGCAGGAGAGAGAGAGAGAGAGAGAGAGAGAGAGAGAGAGAGAGAGAGAGAGAGAGAGAGAGAGAGAGAGAGAGAGAGAGAGAGGTAGCAACCAGATTATGCTGACATACCGCTAACATGAGTTCGATCGTTCACTCGATTCTATGGTGAAATTTGTTTTAATCGGTATTACAGAACGGCTAATTGAATTTCGCATAAATTGTGTAACTCTATTTCCAAGAGAAGCTGTACCATTCAAATGTCATGTTCTTGTTTATGTAATTGATTAAGCTCTTATATTTGGCATTCGGGGACTCGTGTTGTTCTATTCTGTATCCCTGCTCAGATATCTACCATTCCATGCAGTAATTTCATATTTTATTTTATTGTTTACTTAATCCGTGCAGAAACACCGTGGCCCATTATCTCCTAAATAACGATAACCAAAGCATCATAAGGAATGGGGACTATATCCCACCCCTGACATTTGAATAATTTCAAAGCATCTCTAACCGTATATAAGTCATATAGAAAGCTAATTAAGCGATGGTATGGTCTTTGCAGGACACTGGTGCACGTGATGTTCCTTTGTGATATATCTGAGATAGCTAAAGCTTGGGAATCATAACTTCCAGAACGAAACATCCAAATATTCTAGTGTTCCTACACTGTGCAGAACGCTCCATTATTTATCAGTTATTACCATTCACTTCTTACTATGGAGGGATTTATAAAGCAGTGTTCTTGTTGATACAGCATATAATTTAACAACAGAAACGCTAAACTGTTCACCATAATACACAGAGCCACTTGAAGGCAAGGGCTGCATTTTCTCCCAAAGGCAGTTTTCAATTAATGTGATGATTGAATTGTCTATAGCTCTTTTTTGTGTGTTGTTCAAAAGCTGAGGTGATTTTCGATTGAGTCTGATAGAACGTCTGCGGCAACAATTTCTTTTTATGTGAAGCAGGTTTCATTTTAGGTTTAAGATTGAAAGATGGTCTGAGAGCAACGTTTGAACTACTGTGTGTGTTTGTGTGTGTGTGTGTGTGTGTGTGTGTGTTGGATTTTTTTTTAACAATTTCTCAGTCATATCCCTACGATGTCTGCAATGTGGCAGTTTATAATGATGTCTAGCAATGGATATCTTGTCGCAGACGTGTAGCATGATATCCCACCCAGTCACATTATCATGACACCAGGCCAACCAGTCCTAACACTAACCCCTTAATTCTGAACGCCAAGTGAGGCAGCTGTTAGTACTATTTTTAAAAGTCTTTGGCGTGACTCGGCCGGTGTTCGAAACAACGACTTCCGGCATTCGAGGCGGATGCTCTAACCACTAGGCCACCGGAGCGGTCTTTTCTCACTAATATAATATATGTCTCAAAAGTTATTTTTTATTTATTGTTGCGCAACAGAGCGTCTCAAAAAACACACAGGGCAATCTACCACTGTGATATCCGCGTTTAGCAAACCCAGCATTTCTTACTTTATTCACACGTTTGATTTTCATTTTATATTATGAATTATTAATATAAATCATTAAATTTCATCAGAAGTGGTCTTTAAGGTTGATAACCAGCAATGTACATCAATTTTGTAAGATATATTTGTCATGCTATGGGTTATCAGTTACATATATAATTTTATTTGCTGACACCTGTTAGCACGTGCTTCTCTCAACCTGACCGAGACAAGAAAAGTAAACATCGCATTGTCAATAGAGGGGAGAAACAGAAAGTACATGAGCTACACTGGACTTGCCGAACCCTGTAGGTGGTTTGTACTAAGCGCTCTTCAAGTACTGAGTTACGCTGGCTCAGTTTGACAGCCAAATCAATTTCACGATTTTGTTTTACCTTGGGAAAAGGGTGAAAAGATCACAAATTATATCATGAAATTATATGATACTTTTGCAGCGTTAAATTTCACTGTGTGGACAAACTAACAGGGACCGATTGGCGACGGGAAACAAATGTTTGTTTGGACTTATGAAAGTGCTATTTATAGTTACCACGTTGGTCGTGACGTGTTTATTTTTGATATGCTTACGTGATGTCATTTGTATCCCGTCTTCTGGACCGTGTGCATCCCTTGATGTATTTTTCACCTCTTTTTTTTACCATAGTGTTACTTTATGAGAAACAAAATATAGTTTACGCTTAATTCTTCATCATAAATATTTTATTCATTTTCAGAACAGTCACAAATCATATTATGCCATTATTTGATTTTTTTTCCCCTAGGGAATGCAGCTTCAAAGTTGATTGTGTGGACAAACCTTGAACGCAGGAGGAATTATGATTGGCAGAGAATAGAAGATTTTAGTTAACTTTTGATTTTGTGTCATGTTTACGGTGCTGCGGTAACTTATTTGGTAGATTACCCGACTCTTAAATCCAAGAATTACGGGTTAGATACACGCCCAGATTATCCTGGGGCGGTTGCCTCGGTGTGTCCTTGAATAAGGCTCTTAGTCTCCCCATTTCTTCTGCATGATATGAACGGCCATATTGTGCGAGGTGCCATGCCTAAGAAAACTTAATGTCAAAATCTTACCAAAGTATGCATTATACCTTTCTATGTCCGGATTTAGAGCATTCGTTATCTACGGTGACTAATAGCGTATTCATACAAGACCATAGGCAAATGCAATATCTATGAATAATTAAGTATATGTATGTATGTATGTATGTATGTATGTATGTATGTATGTATGTATGTATGTATGTATGTATGTATGTATGTATGTATGTATGTATGTATGTATGTATGTATGTATGTATGTATGTATGTCCTAACTTAGTACGAATTTATAATATTCAATTTGAACATAGAAAATGACGCAAAATGACCTACTTTGAAAACATCATAAACATAAATTTTCCGTTTGCTACACAATTGTTAAATGAACTGCAGCAATCTAGTTGTATATATTATCATAGAACCACACACACATACACATACACACACACACACACACACACATACATACGTACGTACATACATACATACATACATACATACATACATACATACATACATATATATATATATATATATATATATATATATATATATATATATATATATATATATATATATATATATATATATATAGTTATGTTTTGAAAATCAAAATTGAAAATCGCTCATCCACTTATATTGTTGTGCATCATTATCTCTTGCGGGAACAAAACAAATTAAAATCCAATTTAAAATGTCATATTTACTAGGCCCGTAAGCAACAAAAATATCGTCTGTTATGATTTTACGGGCAGATCATATTGCATGGTAAATATTGGCGGCATGATATTGACAACATTATAAGAATTCAAAGTATTTTGGGGGCGACAAATGTGTGTGTGTGTGTGTGTGTGTGTGTGTGTGTGTGTGTGTGTGTGATGTCTGCAGTGTCAGTTTATCGAGATGTCTACCACTGGGGCATCATGCCGCAGATATGTAGCGTGATGTCCTACCCAGTCACATTCTCCTGACACCTGGCCGATCAGTCCTAACACTAACCTCTTAATGCTGAGCGCACGAAAAGCAGCTGCTAGTACCATTATTTTGTTAGTGTGTACAACCGAAAGGAATATTCAATCTTTTCAATTAGAATCCTCTTTTTGAGTATATTCGTTTGTTCGCCCAGAGAGCATGAGAGCATCTTGTACCACGAACAAACGAGGCAAAATGTTGACTAGTAAAGCTTTATTAATTAGCCCACAAGAAAACAACTGGAAGCTCTCTAAATCTCCTGGAATTCAAACATCGAACTCCCAATGTAATATTAACGTGAAAGTTTTGATTAGTAAGATTGCTCCCAATGTTGCGTTTTCTGTTTACTATACTCTTGAAATCATAACACGTATGCATCAAGAACGTGTTATAAAATAGGGGTCGTATCAAAATCGTTCAAGACTTTCGTATCGATCAACCAGGGCTTAGAAAAGGCTGTTGATGGACATTTGTTCTGTTCGGATCCAGCAAATCATCCCCTTTCATCTTACCACGAAAAATTAACTTTCTTTCTTCAAAGGTTAGAAGTACAGATAGGAAAATGCGCAAAAGAATAAAAGCAGAGCTCTAACACGAATAAGAGGAAATAGAGGATGAGGACTTTCTCATTGTCGATTGATAAAGCAGTAAAAAAATAATTATAGAAATCCGTCAGTTTCATACTTTCGTACTTTTCAATACCCTGACGTATTATTTCATATAATTATGACTCTAAGGATAACCGACATAGTGTTACCGTTGTATCTACTTTTGAAACGTTCAGTGGTTTCTGTGTAGTGTAAAGAAAACTTTGAAAAAAAGGAAGGTGCCAAAACTGAGTGCATGTAAAAACTATTGAATCATTTTCTGATTGTAACACTCATTACACAGTTTATCTTTGATTTTGACTTAGATGCTAATAAGCTGCTTTATCTCATTTTTTATAAAATAATTTTTCATCTTTATTGCCTTGTATATATTAAGTTTGTTGCTGATTTGTGAAAAATTGTTAATGATAATTTTTTTTGTACTTTGGTAAGATTTAAAAAAAAATTGCAAGGTTCTGATAAGTATAGAGGAAAATATGCCTCATTTTACAGACCATCCCATCTGCTATCACAACTAGTCACATTTATTACAAACAGACCTTTGAATGTTGCAGGTATAAGGAAGATTCGTCTCAAGTTATAAATGGTCTCCTAAGGCAGTGTTTATCGTATTCTTTAAAAATCAGAACATAATGTATGTAAATAAACCAATCATTGTATAATATCTGATCATCTGATAGGAATCTTTTTCATAAATAATTCAAATTTAAGTAGTGGTTTGGTACGTTATAAGCTTAGACAGTGAATGCATGGAACATAAATATATATTCCAAATCTAAAAGTTAGTTTCCTTTACTGAATTTAATGTTTTTATTTTAGGTTCTGAACTTACATTTTATTATATGTGTCGGCCACATTGCATATCTTGTCTGCTTTTTAATTCTGTTTTAACTTCTCTCGAGAGCAAATTGTATGAAATGAATCCTATTCAATCACTGGTTATATTTGGCTAAATAAAAACTATAGTGCATACAATTGGTAAAATATTACCCGACCAAGATTTTTAACACTTAATGAAAATATGATTTATTTATGATCATAAAGCTCCTTGGTAGGTTTTGGACTGAGTTTATATTTTTACCCATATTGAAATTTATCTATTGTACATGGAACACACACTGACTGGCTGTTTTGAAGTTTGCGTAATGAGTATTCGTACATGGTATATTATTATATTCTATATTTTTATCGTTTTATCTTGAAAGTTATTGTTCCGAAATAATGATACAAACCCTCTTGAATACGTTTGGAATTTGTTTCATTTTGTTGCCATTTTCATCTCGCCTGTGATTAATGTTGCAAAGCAAAACTTGATATTTGCAGTGTCCGTCAGTCCATAAGTCCGGCTGAAGTCAGCTTGAGTACAAAATATTTAACACGGCAATATTTCTTGTTTATCTTATTGGATCATTACAAGACATGTCATATACAGCGTTGTGGAGATGGAATAGGTTACAGGTATCCACCGAGTCAAGCCTCATCACCACCACCCTTCCACACTGGGACTTAGTTTGGTGTCTTATAGCACATCAACACGCGTAGGTTATTTGATATCGAGTTTATAAGTAAAGTGATTTGCCCGAATATTGATAAGTTATATGTGACGGAAACTTTAACAACATTCGTTGCCGGCAAAAAATACTATCTGTAATTTGATTCGAATAATCCATTGAGATTTTAGATAAGTGGATCACAATACCTTCGACAACGATTCAAATACTGTGCTTGATCTGTTTTGTATTTCCTAAAACAAAATCCAGAACAATCTAATTAAAATCAGATCTCTGCTGTCCTACACGAAGATCTGACGACGACGGGTTATGGGTCATGCTCTGGTAACCATTGAATTAGCCAATGGAAATACAGCGTTCAAAATCCTGAAAGTAAATCAAATCGTTCATTGCGCATTCATGCTCTTCGTCCACACTGCTCATTCTCCAAACACAATGATGTAAGACTTCATCTGATTGGTTGATAAAATTAGCTCTTATGGTAATAAGATAGGTCACTAGAATATGACCCTAAAGCGGTGGCTCTCAGATCTTCATGTATAACAATGCAAATATGATTTTAATGAGAGTGTATAAAGGAATTTCTTCCCTGCAAATTAGAATGGAAAAGTCCATTGGCGCTGAGGATCATACATAAATTTGGAAGGAAGGCTCCCTATAATTCACGTAGATTGCAACGAAACTGGTACTTCTATTAGCACTACATACGCGATAGACATCATGTACGGCTTATTTGTTTGT